CTCAAAAAAAAAAAAAAAAAGATGACAAATAGTCCACCTGTATATGGCACTTACCATAAACAGAGCTTGCAGTACTCGAAGTTGCTGTGGGTCAGTGAGTGAATGTGAAAGTCTAGAACATGGGCCGGGTGTTGGAGGCTCACGCCTGTAATCCCAGCACTTTGGGAGGCCGAGGTGGAAGGATCACGGGGTCAGGAGATCGAGACCATCCTGGCCATAGTGAAACCCCATCTCTACTAAAATACACAAAAAACTTAGCTGGGCATGGTGGCGCATGACTGTAGTCCCAGCTACTCAGGAGACTGAGGCAGAGGAATCACTTGAACCTGGGAGACAGAGGTTGCAGTGAGCCAAGATGACACCACTGCACTCCAGCCTGGTGATGGAGCCAGACTCTGTCTCAAAAAAACAACAAAAAAAGTCTAGAATATTATTGTACACTACAGTAGACTTTATAAACATTGTACACATGGATTACACTAAGTTTATAAAGAATAAAGTAATTGCACTGATACTGTAACAGCTGTGACGTCATTAGACAATAGAAATTTTCAGTTCCATTCTAATCTTACGGGACCACTGCTGTATACACAATCTGCTGTTGACCTAGATGTCCCTATGCAGTGCTTGGCCGTATTTGAGAACAGCCACAGGCACTGACCAATCAGACAGGAAGTCAGCGAGGTCAGGCAGTACCCTTTCAGTTCCTGGTTCAGGAGAAGGTCTGATGGAGGACTCCTGGGGGAACAACAGTCTCTACGAACTCTACAGCACATTTCACCACCTGATGAATATCAGACCTCCCTGTGGACAAACAGAAGAACTGGATACTTCCTTACCATGCCCTTTTCACTCCTCTCTGTGTTTAGAAGCCTTCATAGACCATCTTAATCGCCACTTTTCTAACACAATGCCATATAGACGTCACCTTTCTGTTACTGTGAATTCCCATAGCTTGTCCCTAATGTGCCTCTCTTAGGACACAGAACTTTTACATCACATTAGAGCTATTAGCATACATGTTATATCTGTTCCTAAGACGATAACTTAGATCTACAAACTGACAACCCACAGACTCAACTCAGCTTGCAGTGACTGGCTAAACCTGAAAGTATATACTTTTTAATGATACATTTCAAACTTCGGACTTCAAAACTCTGTCTTTCTGGCTTCTCTTGAAGCATTGGCAAGCCTGGCCCCATGGGGCCTGTCTACGCTAGTAGTTACAGTGGGCTGGGTCTGCGAAGCGGCTACCCTCACCCCCACTCCCAGAAGGGGAGCCAGCTCTTGGTTTCCCCACAATTCCCTTGTGGCCTGTTTCCCTCCTCCCCACTTCCTGCCAGGTCCCGGCAGCAGTGGAGTTTGCAGCCCTGCTGTAACAACTCTGAGGGCAGAAAGCATTTCTTACTCACCTTGGTTTGGTGTGATGGTTAAAAGCACAGACATGGGGCCCAAACTAGTTAGGGTCCTATTCAGTGCCGATGCTCACTAGCTTGTGCGCCTCGGCAAGGTACTTATTCTTTCTGTGATCCGGCTTTCTCTTCTGTAAAATGGGGGTAACAACATGGTAATGCCTACTTGATAGGATTCTTGTGACGATTAAATGAGCTAATGCATTATGAGGTGCTTAAAACAGTGCCTGGTAGGTAGCTATCCCAAGCCAGCTTTATCTGCCAGTTGCAGCAGAGATTATAGAATATTCCTCACAGAACCTAGCATGCTTAGTAGGTATACAAACACATTTAGTAAACAAATGAACAAATTACATATCATTCACAAGGTCCTCACAGAAACTTTGGGTTAACCCAGATGGCAGCCTGAGATGATGGAATTCCAATCGGTGTGTCTATCCTGGATCAGTGAGTTGAGGGACAATAGGACATGACTGAGTTGTTTCAACTTTAGCTGGAAGCAGTGGCTCACGCCTGTAATCCCAGCATTTTGGGAGGCCAAGGTGGGTAGATCACTTGAGCTCAAGTGTTCAAGACCAGCCTGGGCAACATGGCAAAAGCCTGTCCCTACAAAATAAATAGATAAATAAAATTAGCTGGGTGCAGTGGTGCACTTGTAGTCCCAGCTACTCAGGAGGCTGAGGAAAGAGGACTGCTTTGGTGCAGGAGGTTGAGGCTGCAGTGATCTGTGACTGCACCACTGCACTCCAGCCTGGGTGACAAAGCAAGATCCTGTTTGGAAAAAAAATCAAAAAACTTTAGCCTGTGAAAAGATATCTATATATGTATCCAAGTGAAAACATCAAAACAATATATCAGGTTGAATGGTGGAGATGGTATGCTAATTATCCAAGTACATAAATCTCAAAGTCCCAATAAGATTGTCTGAATTCCAGTCAGGCTTCCTCCAAAATTTCTAACCAGAGGTGCTTGGGGACAATATGGCAGAAGAAAGGTGATGGCCTGGAGCCTTAGTGTGGAATGAAGTGCACCTACGGAGAAGCTCATTACTTCCACTGAGGTTGTATGTTCATTGGAACAGCTAGAGGAGGTTCGTTGATGGGAATTATGGGAGAATTAACTTTTTCCTCCCTTACAAAACCTCTTCCAGATACAACTCTGTCTACATCAGTGACCAGATACCAGTTGAAGGGACTAAGCAGTGATGAAGATAATAGCCACATTCAAATGCAGAGGAAACATTCACTTCTAGAAGCATCTAGCTCTTTGCAACGTCTCTTGAAAAGAAGATGCCATGGAGAATAGCTGAATATTCTCGGCCCTTATCCCTGAACCTATGGTGAGGGATTCTAATTAAAAAGTGATTTGTATCCCTATGGTGGATACCTTATGGATGACGTTTAGCTGAGCCTAACCAGAGGAAAGGTATTTGGTAAAAGAAACTTTATCACCCTTGCCAAAGGCCAACAGCTGGAAGGGATTTTATACCCATTCTAATTAAGGTAGATGTTTTGCTTTTCTTCTGGAATTCCTGCAGGAAGGACCTTGGGGAGAATGATGTCAGTGGATCATCATCCCCAGGCCAAGAGTTCTTTCTTCCAAAAACAAGACCCCAGAACCCCATCTAGAAGGGATCAGCCAAGACTTGAGTGCCTTCGCCTGCAGGCCACAGTTCAGTTGTGTGAGAGGAAAGGTAAGCTGTGGTGCTTTTGAAAGCTGAGGTCTGACGTAGCCTTCAATTCATGTGATAACAAGTTTCCAGCCCTGGATTTGGAAGATCTCCAAGGAAACTTCTTTCCAGAGCATCAAAGGAAGCCAAGAGAGATTACAGCATCTGGGACCAGCGCTGAACATGTGAAGGTGATGATTGTTTAGGCAAGTGATTTACTGGTGACCTACAGGGAAAACAAAGTCAAGCAGAGAAGGGGACTGACGTGGCGGGGAGAAGCAGCCAGGGAAAGCTGATAGTATGAATCATCACTGGCTCCGAGCCAAGACAAGTACCTGAGAGTGAAGTAGAAGAGATTGGTGGAAGGGACAGGAGACCTGTATTCTGGTCCCAACGTGGCCTCTTATTTTTGTGACATTATATGAGAGGCTTTACTGCTGAACTCTTTTGCCTTCCTCTACAGTATAGAAAGGGGAGATTAGGTCAGCAGTCAAATCTCAAAAGCCTTTAGGGACCAGGCTGGAAATGTCTATCATGAAGGAGATTGGGTGAGACAATAAAGAAGCCGGCAATGTGGGTATTTGTGGCTAACCAAAGAATGTCCACTGCTGGGTATGGTGGCTCGCACTTGTAGTCCCAGTCACTTGGGAGACTGAGGTGGGAGGCTCACTTAAGGCCAGGACTTCAATACTAGTCTGAACAACATGGCAAGACCGTGTCTTTAAAAAAAAAAAAAATTAGCAGGGTGTGGCAGCATGCGTCTGGAGTCCCAGCTACTCGGGAGGCTGAAGTCTGGGGGAATCACTTGAGCCTGGGAGTTTGAGGCTGCAGTGAGCTGTGATTGTGCCACTGCACTTCTAGCCTGGGTGACAGAGCAAGACCCTGTCTCTGATAATAGATAAAAATGTAAAAAAGAGGGTCCACTCCTGGCTAAACTCTTCCAGGTGCATTGTTGCTGAAGTGCGGCCTGATGAATGTGCCTCTGTTCTGAGTTGGCCTGCAGACTGCCGTCTTACTCATCCATGCGAACTGACTGATGCCCAGGGCCACAGACTGCCCTAAGCTTTTGGGTGCCTGTGACCCTAAAATGAGTCCATCTCATACTCTTAAATACGCAGGACATGGGGCTGTAGCTTGTTTAGATTAAGAGCATGGGCTCTGCAGTAATGTGGGGTTGAGTCCTCTGCTCTGTCACTACCAGGGGCCTATGTTCCATTGTTTGTGCTTCCAAAATTCAACAACTTTAAAAACCAAAAGATTTTCTGTAGGTTTACGGAATACTCGTTTGGTGGCAAAACTGATCTGAATTATTTAGAAAGATCATTTATACCAAAGGTTGGCATTTTTTTTCCCCATAAAGGCCCAGATAGTATTTTTGGCTTTGCAGGTCATCTGATCTCTGTCACAGGCACTCAGCTCTACTCTTGTAGCAGGGAAGCAGCAATAAGAAGTGGGCACAGCTGTGTTTCCATAAAACCCGATCTACATAAACAGGTGGGATTTGGCCCACAGGGTGTAGTTTGGTGACTCCTGATGTGTATTATTTAGCACAAACAATTCAGACATTTTGCTATAGAAATATTAATGATTCTGATTGTTGGGTGCTGTCCCAGATACCTCTGGGGTTACCGGAGACAGACTAGATAACTGGGTCATAATCCCTAGAATCTATGACTGTGTTACCTTCCATGGCAACAGGAGCTTTACAGATGTGATTAAATTGAGGACCTTGAAGATGCAGAGGTGACTTACTTCCTCCAGTGATCACACTTTCCCCAGCGTAATCACATAGGTCCTTATTGGAGGGGATGCAGAGTCAGAAACACAGAAAGTTCAGATGCACAGGAGATGTGAGGACAGTGGCAGAGGTCAGAGAAATGGAGGTTTCAAGATGCTGTGCTTCTGGCTTTGAAGATGGAGGGAGGAGTGTGAGCCAGGGGACACATGCAGCCTCCAGAAGCTGGAGAAGGCAAGGAAACAGATCTTCCCCTGGGGCCTTCAGGAGGAACACAGTCCTGCTGACCTTGAGTTGAGACCTTCTGACCTTCAGAACTGTAAGAGAATAAATCTGTGTTAAGTCATTAAGTTGGTGGTAATTTGAACGGCAGTAATAGAAACTAACACAGAGGTGTAGTGACATATGTGATATATGCACTAAATTTCCTTTCTAAAATCTAAGATTTATAAATGAAAACTTGCATGCTGAAAGCTTTGGATTGGATATTGGCTTGTGGATTTGTAGCGGCATGATCTTGAGCAAGATCATTCAGCTTCTTAAATGTCAGTTTCCCCGTCTGTAAAGTGGGTATAAAATCCTGTCTTCCCCTCTAAAGGCATTGAGGAGAAGGTGGTGATGTTCCTTCCAGATCTCCCTTCAAGAAAGGGGTCCCCAAACTGCCCCCCTGGTAGGGAGTCCACCTTTGGTATCAGCCCAGCAGGGGTTATCTCAGCTACAAAAAGCCCTGAGGGGGAACATATCTATGTCTAGGCAAAGTTGAGGGTTCCTGCCATTTCCAAAACGCTGAGAACCAAGAGTCAGAATTTCCAGTTTCCAGCAAATACTTCAGTCTAAACTTTAAAAATTGGGGAAGCACAGTGGGTATTTAAAAATCGTTTGCTAAAGTCGTAGGAAATACCAGTCTTCCAGTATTTGGGTGGAGTGGTCCCTCTTACTGTCCTTAAAGCCTTCTCACACTTAGTAAATGATCTCTTTATTAAGATTCCCCCAAGTTCCCCAATTTGTCTGTCATTTGCTTCCTGCTGCAACCCCACTAATGTTAGTAACAATGAACTTTATTAAATATTTGCTGTAAGCCCTGCAAGCACAGTGTCGTTTAACCCCCTCAAGAATTCCATGAAGTGACTGTTACTAGTCCACCTTATGGAAGATGAATCTGAAGCTTAAAGAAATTACAGTTACAGAGCTAGAAAATAACAAACCAGGAACTGAATCCCTACTGGCCCCCTACACTGGCTGTTTGACTGCAAACTGATTTTAACCACTATGCCATGCTGCTGTGATGATCATAAAACCTCCATTTCCGCAAAACTTGGCAGATCACTGACATATTTTTAGAAACTTGTTTTCTCCTCCCAGCACCAAATAATGACACAAACAGATTAGTATCTGGTCTTCTCCAGATAAAAATGATCAGCATTATTGCTGACAATTTTCAGAAGTACTCACCCCAAGCAGCCTTTCTTCATCTTTTTCTGAGAGGCTAAAAAAAGTTTTGAATCTGTGAGGTCGGTCTGTAAGTGGTGGAGTGTGAGTGGGAGGGTGGGAGCAAGAGAGAGAGAGAATGAAAAAGGTCTAGACAGGCAGGTCATGCTTAAATATCAAATCACTCCCAGCCACGCTTTGGTCTTCAATAAGAGGGTGGCAGATGCACACGTTGTGAGTGCTGACCTTTGAAATCGAGAGCAAGCTTTTATAGACAGGATCTCAGCTCAGTCCAGCAGAGTGAGAGGCTATGTGCACTAGGGAATGAAATTTTTGTCTGCCAAATTAGACCAGCCAGAGACCCTTTATCTTTAAACTGGTGGTTCTATAAAACATAGTCCCCACTTAGTGTAGTCATAGATCTTTGTGGCCTCACATTTCCTTTTCAAAACCTTCTTGAATATCTTGCACATACAGATGACCTTTAGACTCCATTTAGCAAGTTCTTAAATCTACCCCATCCCACTGGGATCTGAGCTGGAAAAGCGTGAACTTTCCTGTTAATTTCAATGCAAACCATTGTCTGGTGAGGCTTCTTTGTTGCAGGTAACAGAATCCAACTCTGAGTAACCTAAGCCAAGAGAAACTTATTGAAACGATATTAAGGTCCTGTCAAATTTGTGGGAGACTTGCACAATTTTTAGGGACTAGGTTTGACATGGGTAGGAACTAAGGAGGCTTCACAGCGTCAAGGAAGCAGGGAAGAGGGCTCCTCTCTGGAACCTGAAAGAGTCTGATTCAAATGCCTCAAGACTCCACCATGAAAGGCTTCTAACCAGTCCCTCCTTTTGCACTGAGCATGATGCAAAAAGTGTATAAAGAAAGTTCCTGGGTGACTCACCTGTGCCCTTCCACCTCTTCCGAACTCCTTTCACCAACTAGAGTGGAGAGTGGGGCATCTGGCTTTCCCAGTTCAAAGTGGTAACCAAGAATTGCCCTCTGTAGAAGATGCTGTCAGTACCCACATGTATTTCCTCGGCCTCCTCCAGAAGTTGCCTCTAAGCCTCTACATACGTTGCTCATTTTTGTGGCCAGTGGGCTACCCTCAGACCACAAGGGCCAGGAATTGGAAGATCAATAGCCCAGCTTCCTTGACTCTCAAGAAAAGGTTCTCAAGTGTGTTCCACACAGTCTCTCAGTGCAACTGAGTCAAGTTACCCACGGCAGTAATCTGTGCATTAATGCCAATAGGGATATTGGCTTCCTCCATTTCACATTGTAATTCTCAGTGCTTCATGACACCTTCTCCCAAATAAACCATTTGCACCTAAATCCCTGTCCCAAGATCTGCTTTAGGGGAACCCATACTAAAATGTCTTAACCAGCCTTTGTGCAAAAGGGCAGAGTCAAGCTCCTAATAAGAAACTGGGCTACTATGAGGTAAAGGGAATTGATGATGAATAACCACAAATGTCAAATAATCACACGTCCATTAAAATGACAGTGACCGAAAAATTTAAAAAGATTTGTAAAAGGGGGAAAACTTCAGATTTTGTTTTTATTTTGCTACCTTGTTTTGAGATTAAATAGAACAAGATCCTTCAGTTGTACATCATGTCTTTTAGAACTACACCTGTAGTAGTTATCTATTGCTGTATAAAATATTGTTCCAAAACATGGTGGTTTAAAACCATAAGCATTTATTATCTCACAGTTTTTGTGGGTCAGGCATTTGGGAAAAGCTTTGTAGGGAGGTTCTAGCGTGAGGGCTCTTATGAAATTAGAGAGGAGATATCAGCAGGGCTGCAGTCACCTGAAGGCTGGAAGGTCTGCTTTCAAGATGGTGTTCTCACATAGCTGTTGGCAGGAGGCCTCAGTTTCTCACCACATGGGCCTCCCTTAAGGACTGCTTGAGTGTCCTCCTGACATGGCAGATGGTGGCCTGAGTGAGTGATACAGCAAGAGCAGGAGGATGAAAGCTGTCTTTTGAGATCTAGCTTCTGAAGTCACATTATTCATTTCTGCAGAATCCAATTGTTTACACAAGTCAGCCCTATTCCAACTGGAAGAGGACTCCATACAAATGTTAGTATCAGGAGGTGGGGAGTACTGGGGACCATGCAGAGGCTGGCACAGTACTCACCTTCTAAGCCAGTCAACTATTTTTGATGTCTTTATGAAACTGACTGACGAACAATTCTACTGTGGAGTAGAGTCAGGGACCCCTATCCACATCTACTAGGTCCACAGCTAGAGGCTTAGGGTAACAGTTTACTATGTAGCCAACATGTTCTATGTTGGGAAAGTAGGGACATCCGTGCAGCTTATTTAACTTGTGCTTGTGATTCTGGCCTTGAATCTGAGAATAACCAAGTTGCCAGAGTTGGAACCAAAATGTGACTTGTGCTGGATACACTTGTGTCTGGACAGACAGTCTCTCCCCTGCCAATTCTTTACCTCCTCCTCCACAGTGAACAGATCCTAAACTCTAGCGTGAAGTAAACAAAAGAGAGAAAATTCCTTTGTAAGCCCACCAGAACCTAATAAAAACAGAGCCATATGCTGCAGAACCCAATCCGGAAATTCCAGCTTAACATAAAAAATATAAAATACCATCCTCAATGTGCCAAGCTTTTATAAAGAAGATGAGTGACTCTGCCAACCCAAATAAGAGGGAAGGCCAAATGAGTTAAAGTTCCAAGCACATTTTAGAACTGCTTTGCCCCCTCCAAATCATAAATCCAATGTTAGTCGGGCCTGTGGAGAAGGGCCTGGGAGTTTATCTTTCATGGCGTTCTTTTTATTCATCAGGGCTGGTATGTGTGTGTCTTAGATTGTACTGACCTGGAGCTCAAAGGGAGAATAAAACTGTTACCTGAGAAATCAGCCCCTAAAAAAAAATAGACTCTAACGAGAGCATTTCTCTTCATGAGAAATGGAAATTACAGGGATATTTTACAAAGCATTGAAATTTATACAATAGCAGTATCCTACGCATTGATTTAAAGAGTGGGTCATTTCGCTGCAAATTTGAGACATAAATACACTGATTCAGATGAAAAAATGCCAGACTTAAACAGCATTACGCAGCTCTTTTGCAGAAATGTTAATTGTGTGTGCTTCCTGGTTCCCTAACTCAGTCACTGCACTTGCAACCATGTGGTTGCTTGAGCCAAAAAAACTAGGAGGCACCTTGACATTTCTCATTCACAACTCACGCTCTATTTCTAATTTATTATCAAGGTTTCTATATGCCATATCTTTCTCCATTTCTTCTACATCTCTCTGTCTCTACCACCCCACTCAGGCCTACTGCTGGAGAGCTGCAGACACCCCCATATTCTTACTCCTGCTTCTATTCTTGCCACACCCCTCCTCTGCAGGAGTTTTCGATAGTTTCTGCTCTAACTGACACACTCAAAATAAAAGTGTAAGGAGTGTGGAGGTTAGAAATGCAGGGCTGGCGTGGCGTGCTTCCACATCACCAGAGACCCAGCCTTCTTCATTCTTGTGTTCTACTGTGAGGCTTCTGTGCCAAGGTCACGCTATGTATCAGAATGGCTGCTAGAGCTCTGGCCATTACATTTGCATTGCAGTTAGTAGGAATGAAAAAACGGGCTGAAGAAGATCATGCCCGCTTTTTGAAAGGACACTTCCCAGAATCGTACACACAAACCTTCACATTGTGTTGGCTATAACAGCTGCATGACCACACCCGGTGGCAAGGGAGGGTAAGAAATTTAGTGTTTATTCCAGTCATGAGCCCAGTGAAAATCAGGGCTGCTGTTACTAAAGAAAAGCATAGAGCGGATATTAGGTTGCTATGAACAGTTTCTGCTTCACCTCTTCCATATCCCCTCAGTCAGAACGTGTTCTTTATATGCCCTATGA